GTTCAAGAATAGATGTGACAGGTTAGTTAAGTAGCGAAAGTTTCAGACCTGCATTCCTTAGATTTTACTTTGGTTTCATGCAATCTTTTAAGATAATGTGTTAACATTTCCCCAGGTTTTCAGAATATAATTTTTCTTTGCACTTTGGCTGTTTGTTGACCTTGTTAAACTTTAAGCCACTCACTAATAATTCACGCTTATTTTTGTAGCACATTGCTGTTCAAAATACTTTGCATCAACTTAAAATATCATATAGTCACCAATTTAGAATTATTTATGGATTAAAAAAATATTGAATGCACATTAAATGGTCAATGTTCTAGTTATGACAGGTCATAGTAACTCAGCGTTTCAGCTATTTTGCAGTTTTCTAAATTACATACAAAGGAATTTTATTGACAAATTGCCAGAAATCTTGAGAAGAAACCATTTTGGATCTTTATAAAAAGACTTCTGTTAAAGTTGAAAACTTTCAGGTACATTCTCAGTTCATGTGAAATATACTAATCTATAGTACAATAAAAGTGTGTTAAATTATGTTTTCCCGCAACTCTGCCAGGATAAGCAAGTATCGCTAATTGATGGATATTGTATATTGTTATTGTACATGTGTCAAACCTGAGGCCCGTGGGCCAAATCCGGCCCACCACAGCTTTATATATGGTGTATATTAGTACCACAAACATTTAGATTTTTATTGCAAAACATCACAAAATCCTAGAGGGACTGAAAAGATGGTCAATAATATTATTTGATTTTAATAATTCGCTGATATTGTAGAGATTTGTGAACAGGTTTTATCAATACATTCTGGCACGACCGGCCCTTTAAGAGCATTGATGATCTTGATTTGGTTTGACACCGCTGTGGTTATTTATTTAGGGTTAGATAAAACTGGACATATTGGTTGAATCATTTCTCCCACAAATATTGAGAGCACAGACATCACAAGTCAGAATATTTTATGCTGCAATTGTTGCTGACACTAAAAGCCTCACTAATGTCTCTCTCTAGCTCCAACCGTTTGGTTCTTCACGCCATCTGGACTCTTGGCAAATGTAAACACTGAGTTACGAGGGGTAAAGCTCTTTGACTTTCTCATTCTGGGAGTTTGCGGTGAATCACTGGCGTGAATCATTTTGACATGAATCATCAAACAGCAACAGAGGCAAAACTTGAAAATACTCAAGGCAAGAAAAAATGTTTTTATGATAAATCACCAATTGTGTTGTGGTCAATAACTTTTACAAAACATATTTGAAAATATATTTGATCGATATTTTTTGGATGTTTTATTAGATCTTGTTCAGTTGTTTGTTTTGTATACTTCTGATTTCATGGGTAAGAAATTTCCCTTTTCTTTTCTGTAGAGCAGCCACTCACTCAAGTTGATTTTTTTGTTTCTTTCTGTCAGTCATCCGTTACCCCCTCTCTAGATTGGTCTTTAAGTTTCTGCTCACTTGCAGAGCCGTTTCTAATCTCCTCCGCTCCTCCTTTGTGCTCCTGTCTTTAAATTTTGAAGAAAAACACATCTAGGAGCTCCCCTCGGTGATGGCGGCAATTTGGCTTTCACACACTCATGTCCTCCAGATTCTGTTTTGGCTGTGAGTTTGTTGTTGTGTTGTTTGTTTTTGCACTCTGACAGACAGTAACAATGCCAAGCTTTTTCAGGCGCTGCAATTTTGTAAATTTTGCACGATGGAACATGGCTTCCTGGTGGCAAAATAAGAAAATAAATGAGTGATTGAGTGATTTTCTGTCTGAGTATATATTTAAAAAACGTGACATTTCAGCAGACAAGCAGAACGAGAAAATACTTGTTGCCTATTTGCTACCTTCAGCCGGTGTCTCGTCAGAAACACTGCAGTAATTGGAAGCATGGGAAAAGTGGATAATGATCGTTTATTTGTGTAAAATTAAAACGCAGCGTTGAGAAAAGCCGGACTCGTCTGTTCTGAGGCTTATCTAGCTTTGGTTGGCTGAGTAATTAAATCAGAGGAGCGAGTGAAGTTCTCTGCAGCTCAGCGCCTCTTCTTGTTTCCTCTTTAATCAGGTGGCTATTAAACCTCTGATTGCACTCCCCGTCTTCTGACTTCAGCTTGGCGATTAAACTCAAAGCATTTGCAGTGTCTGGATGTCTGTGTGTTTGTGTGTTTCCATGTCGTGTGTTGTTGAAGGAATTTATTAGAATAGAAAAAAAAAAATAACCGAGACTACAAGTGGAAGGAAAATAAGGACTGTGCAAAGTAGAAGTCAGAGACTTGAATATTGATGTGGTACTTGTGTTATTCACCACCTGTGGTGTATTACACCACTTACTGTTGAACAGGCTTTATTCTGGATGCACACGTTTTTCCTACCTCTAACTGCAGATGCCTAAAATCATATTTTTTTAAATTTAAATGGGATGTAGCTTGCAATTCACACAGAAATGATACTTTATAACTCTTAATGCAAAGTCCATCCCAGACTAAACCAGTCCCCAGTTCAAACTTAATCTCATATGGTTGAGATTTTTATACTGATTTATCCAGTAAGAAGAAGCGATGTTGTCTGAGAGCAGTACCTTGGAGACATAACCAACAGGCACTTTATGCATAGATTTAAAAGCGCATGGCGCACCAAGTCAGCTTGTAATTCTCCACAATGTTGAACAAAACTGTCATCAGCTGACAGATTGACTCTAATTCAACAAAACTTTCCTCCCAACAGCTGTGTTACCAGAATACACACTTTTTAAATTAGCAAACCATGTAGAGTGTGTGCAAGTCTCACTTTTCTCCACATCATCATACTTTGTTTTACTCCTGTGGATTTAAATGAACTACAGTTATGGAATCAAAATAATAATTCAATGATTTTGTCTGTAACAACACTAAAACTATCAGTGTCTCAGCATTTTGTTTTTCCACAACATGTTGTTTCACGCTGCTGTAATTCTCAGAACAAGGTGGATGATAGACACTCAGATTGAAACTGGAGTCAAATATCATTCACTGGAACCCGTTTGGAAAAGCAATTCTTCTTGTTTTATCCCATTTGCTAGTGATGGAAAACAGAAGTTTTAAAATTATTGTGAAATAAGGCATCATTTCACAAAAGCAACTCACTCCATGCTCTTTCTGTGTTGCAATAATCAGCCGCACACTGTAAAATGTTTGAAGGTGGTTTAACTTGAAAATTAAAGCCCAATAATTTAAATTTGTGTTTCATGTTAAATGAACAAACTTTCTGATTGGATAATGAGTTTTATTAAACATTACAATAAATTCTGCTAAAAACATTTAGTGAGACCAGGACATTATCCTCAAGCTTTAAAATAAACATTTGCCTTAATAACTCAGGAGTCAGATTAATGTGACTCACTTCCATCTCTGGAGACAAAATCAAACCGCTAAGCATTCTGGGAAATAGTTCCCACTTCTGTAATTTTTTTTCTTTCAGTTTTTTTCAGTGCTAACATAAAAACTGTGGTTTATTCAGCTCTTAATAAAAAGTTAACACAACTTACTAGTGTAAGTTTATCTTTCACAAACTTTAGGTTCAAGATCTAAAACTCGCTACATTTATTTGACTTAAAGAGTAGAAAACAGTAGACACAGCTAAGTGTGGCTGAAATGTTTTACAGTGCACATCCATCCATCATATTCTTGTTGAAAAAGAAAAAAGTTATTTTTTTCATCAAGGTAATTATAATGTGTCCAGCAGTTAAACTGATTGTGGCTTTGAATATTTGACAAAAACGTGCTTTTAAAGACAATAAAAAACCAGAATATCCAATTATGATTTATCTTTCTTTCACAATTACAATATTTAAAAGTTAAAAAAGTTATATTCCCTCTATAAAATGGCCACCATTGCAGGAGCAGTAATTTTGCTGCTTTAAACAAACGGCCACAATTTGTTACCAAACCTGCAGAAAAAAGTTGCAGTAATCTGCAGCCGACATTCAGCAGACATCCTCCGCATGCTGTGAGTGACGTGCAGGATGACCCTCCTTCAAGGTGATCTCCTCTGTGTGCGCCGCAGAGATCACACAGATTAGACTAATGCGGCGCTCAGACGGCCGCCGCTGGCCTGAGGTTCCTGAATGCATCCATCCTGATGCTCTCAACCCACTTCTGCTGGCAGAGACAAGGTTGTTCACCTCAACCTTTGGCTTATTTACTGAGATAAACCAGGAGTTTTATTGGTTTTTGTTGACCAGTGTCTTTGTAAAATGTTTCAGTATTTTGTTTTTTTTGGGTGTTTTAACGTGACTATAACACAAATTTAAAAAAGGAGAATACTAGTGTACAAAAATGGGAAGGTGTAAAGATACATTTATTAAGATCAAGATGTCTGAAACAAACCACTCAGAAAACTAACTGTGCTTGTATTAGTTTGAACAAATTATTAATACCATTATAACATTAAACAAGCCAAGTTTTCAGTCAAATTTTAAATATCTTTTCACACCAGAAATGTAAAAGAAAGTTTGTAAAAATTGTTATGACCACTTTTATGAAATATATTGTTCTCCACATTTAAAATTACACAGAAAAACTTTTTAATGCCATTTTTAATGAATTTACAAGTTTTATGTTTGTGAACAAAGTGATGAAATAATAATAATAATAACACATTTTAAACAAATGTTAAGTGTGTCATATTGAAAAAAATTAATTAAAACATCCTGTGACACAACAAACACAAAAAATACACCCAATCATTTAAAATACATAACAATGTAAGAGAAAGTAAAATAATTAAAATACAAAATGATTCAAATATTAAAGCCTTATTAAACAAGCACGTTTTAATTCTCTAATTTGAATGAGACCTGTCGAATATTTACTATTTTCACCAGCCTGCTTTATTGCAGACATGCTTCATAATTTCAGGCTTTCCCTGTAGTTTGTAAACAACTTAAATCTCAAATTACTTTGAAATGTTTTTAAACCCTGTGATTCTGTTAATTTGGGGCTTATTACATATTTGTAATCTTCTTTCTTCTTTAGCGCCTGTGATCCTGAATGAGCTCAACTGGACGCAGGCTCTGGAGCGAGTCTTCATCGAAAACCGGCGAGAGGACAGCTCTCTGCGCTGGCAGGTGTTCGGCAGCGCCACGGGCGTGACGCGCTACTACCCAGGTAGGCTTCATCAGGTCAACACTCTGCCCTCTGCTTCATGGCAAGATAAAGTCAAACTGAATCCATCAGGTTCTCCGCTGCAGAACGTCTTATCAGCTTTCTGTGCTGGTAGCTTGATAGAGAGAATGAAATTATGATTACTTTGATCTCATCTGGTGGGAAATGTCCGACAGTGAGAGGATTATTTGAACTTATTTTCTTGCTCTCTGCAGCCACTCCTTGGAGGGCGCCCAACAAGATTGACCTTTACGACGTTCGCAGAAGGCCATGGTAGGAATAAACTCCATATTTAGTAGCTTTTACCTTCCAGATTATTACAAGAAGGATCTACCGGAGATTTTATACTTGGGGATTCAGTATTATACGGATGTCATGCTTTAATAACAGATTTTCTGGCACTCAATAAGAAATTGGCTCATTCAAATTCTCATAAAATGTGAAGGACCTTTAAAGCTTGACTTTAATGTAGCTTTGTGCTGTTGATACTCCCAGATAACTTGTAAAGTCTTTGTCTTGAAATTCCCTAAGAAGTCTGAACTTTTTGGAAGAATGTTAAATTTGTCCTGCAGTTTAGAGAAATCATCGCAAACATTAAAACGATATTGCAAAAGTTGAGCTTTTGTGGAGACTAAACACAATCCTTCAGCTGCTCCAGATTTGGTGATTTTAAAGTTGCAATATCCATTTGAAAGATCTGCTCATAAGATTACTTGATCATAATAATCTGTATAATTATTTAGACAGCAAACACATACGAATGCCAGTTTCAAGTTATACATAAAATTGCAATTTAGCTCATATTTTTCTGGTTCCTATAAAAATATACATTTCAAGAAGTAAAATTAACCTGCATGTATAATTCTTTCAGCCAACATGATTTTATTTATTCTCAAATAAATAAAAACACAAGCACCCAATTCATGCTTTTAAAAATCACTGATGCTTTTTGTTGTAAAATCTTCAAAATCTCATAAAATAACGACTCAAATCCATGAATAAAATCCTTAAATTAATTTGACATTCTAGAATATGTGTTTTGAAAAGAACCTGGCCATAAGATTACGTAATCATTATAATCTGCAAAACACATATGAACATGCACTTTTTAAATTCACCAATTAGTATGTACACAATGACATTACAAACTGACAAAAAGTAAAAACGGGTATTGATCTACAAAATGATTAACCACATAATAGAACGAGTAACAGCAATAAAGGTAAAACAACCAAACAAGCAAACAAACAAGGAATTATGCATTAAAACAAATACATTCAAAAGAAGATTGAAACACAGGAGGAGTGAAAGATTTTATAATTATGTACTTTTTAGCTTTATTATTCCATTCTTATGTACGTTTTGTAATCTTGGGTTCATAAATGTTGTTTATTGTATAAATAAAGCATTTTCCTGACCCGTATGTAGGTGACGACAAACAGAGACATAAAAGGAAAATCTGGTTGAAAAAAAAGAAATGAGGCCATTCACCCACTTTACCCTCTTCACCCACCCACCCACGGGTTTCTGTCCACCCTTTACACTTTCAATCTACCTGCAGCTGTCACATCGGTTTTGTGGCAGCCCTGCCTGTTGCCTGGTTACAGGTTGGAGTGGAGTGGACATAATCATGACAGCGGTGTTGATTAGACCTGACCCCATTTTCCATCTGGGTCTCCGGCCGGTTTAAATTGAGTGGCTGTTTGAGGTCAGGCCAGAGAGCTCGCACTGAACAAACACACACAGGAGAAACTTTCAATTGTGTTATTACTCTTTTTATTAAGCAAATATTCCATCTGTACACTAAGCTGAGCTTTGAGAAAGACTGAAAGTGGAACAAAATTGGTGGTAAGTGAATGTAAAACGTTAAGCTTTAAAGATTTGAACAAATAGAAAAACACTGAAATTAAATGTCGTCTCTTCTAATCGAATCAATTTATTATTTATTGTCATAGATGTCCAACTTTCTACTAAAACTAATTGTTTGTTTTCTGACAGCACATGTAAGCCATTTCAAACATGAACTCAAAACATACACTAAATGATAATTTGTATTATCAATCAATTAATTAGTGAAGTTGATTTAGCACAAGGCAGTTCAAAGTGGTTCATGTCATAAAAGCACAAAAATGAACAGTCACAGTTAAGAAACCAGTAACATTTTATTTATTTGACATCACATTTTGTCTTCAGAACACATCAGATATATTGGTCAATGTTTTTATCTTCATAATTATAGATTATTTCATTAAAAGTAAAGTAAAATGGTTCAACCTTTATTATCTCTTATTTTGGAAGACATCAGAGTTAAATTCATCTGCAGATGACTTTCATGCAAACAGATTCCGATATTGTATCAGTTCATGTCAGACTGCGCTTGTAATTAAGTAATAAATAAATAAAACACTTAGCACTGTTTTTACAAGCATGAAACCAACAAGGCTTCTCTCTGACAACTTAATTAAGTTAGCAGCAGACAAAAGTCTCCTTAGTGCTGCACTGTCACTTGAGGCTTCGCCTTGAACATGCAAACTGCTGTAAACAGAAACTGCGGCGCTGAAGGACAAGTTCGAACATTAATCCTGTCTCTCATCTGTCAGCTCAAAACCCGAACTACACCGGAGCTTAATTCCTGTGAGTGTTGTGACCGGAGACAGGAAGAAACAATGGATGAGAAGGATGAGCGGAAGCGGCTTGTGTGACGAGGACAGGCAGAGGAAGAGGGTGATTCTTTGTTCTCTCTCTCTGCAAAGGGACACCTTGTCACCTCCGTGGCCTTCCATGTTTGTCACTGTCATTGCGTTGAGCTTTTCCTCATGTTGGACTCAGAGGTGCTCCTGTAGCTGGTTGCTTAGCAACCTGTGCCAAAGCGGAGCGGCGTGGCGGGGTCGCGCGCCGGCAGGGTCATGATGTCTCAGGTCAGGCTTGTGTGATTATAGCCTTACATGCTGCTTTCTTGACTGACATTCGCTGTGGAGGTCGAACGGTCGCGGGGACGTTTGGTTGGGGTCAGGCGAGGTCGTCAAATGTGTCTCTGTGATATCAGAGGAGGCCAGCATCCTTCAGAGTGACAGTGACATGAATAACACTTTCAATGTTTGCATAAAACATAAAACGTGAACAGATCACATGCATAAAGCATGAAAATGGTCAGTGAATCGGTTTTACATTCCCACCTGTTGCAAAGATTGTCGGTGTTTTTATCCATCTGTTTTGGTTGAGGTTATTTTGGATTCACCGCATTCAGATTTTTTTTCTCATCATGCAACTCTGGGAAAAATTGAGAGAGCACTTAAAATGATCAGTTTCTCTGATTTTACTTTTTTGAACATTGTTCTACTGACAACATGTCTCTGAAATTCCAAGCTAAATTTACACATTTAAAATATGAACATCTATTAACATTGTATTAAACAAGACTTAACATTTTGAAGTCGTTCATTTTTTATTTTATTTTGATAAGTGTGGTTCTTCAGTATTGTTTTTATTTTATTTCTTATTTTCAAATTAATTTTATCATTCATAATCCTCCCAGAGTCCCAAGAGGGGTTCTGTTTTTTTTTTTTTCTTCTTGTGGTTTTGGGAACTGATGGTCTGACGGGACATCCTCATCATCTACCTCAGTCTTCCTGAGCGTCGCACTAAAACTGCAATCATGTTGTTTTTATGTCTACTGTGGAAAATAGGCTGATGGAGCATCATAATTTATATTCATTCATATAAAAAACAGATATAAATGTATTATTTCTTTATTTATTCAATCGAGGGACAAAAAGGACATAGTTACAACAAAAAGTATCCAGACAGTTTTATTTTATTTATTTATTTTTTTTAATTTATTCACAGTTAGAGATGGATATTAGTCCGAAAAATGGACAAACAAATTACTGACTTGGATGTAACATTGTCACAGAAATAGTAAAATTGGGAAGCTTAAGCTTAAAAAGTATGAAATTTTGAAGTAAAACATTTAGGAGCTCTGTTCGTATGCGTTATTATAACATTTGATGATGAACAGCGTAGAACAGTACCACTCTTACATGTGCGAACTCTGACAGATGTGCAGGTTTTACACGTTGGTCAATAGGCAAGAAAGATGCTGCAAGCAGATTGCAGCATTACAATCACATATTTCTGTAACATCAGATTGATGCAGACCTGTAGCTATACTCCCTTTGACAAATCTGCAGTCTGGTTGTAGTCTGGTTGGCATGCAGGAAGTTGTTACTGATTGTTGGATCGTAAATTTGTGGCTTTAACTGGTTCCAGTCGACAGCTTCTTGTCTGACCAGGTGGGCTTTAAAAAATGAAAAATCATCCAGCAGATTTTTCCCCCTTCCGCTCTTCCAGCAGCTCCATCAAGAAAATTAATGATCCAGTCTTTGCACTTAATTGTCACCAATTCCAGTGTCATTAAATATTAACATTATTCATTATGTCTGTTCTTTTCACCAAAGGAAGCAAAGCAGAAGCTAAGGTGAGGCAGAGGAAAGAGAAAAGGAAAATAGAAGGAGGAATAACAAGAGAAAAGGCATGGAGTCCTGTTAGCCAAGCGTTGCAAAGATCCCATTACCTCCCAGGTTCACAACAGCATGTAGGCTATATCACATATTGATTTCTTCAAAAAGTCAATCTGACCTCGTCACAAATATTATGACTGCTGGTCAGTCCCTGAAGCTGAGGCTCCCTAGAACACTATTCCCAATATCCCGAGCCCGGAGCCTTGCCTCCTCCTTTCATTCCTTTTTTCACCCCACTTCAGGTGGACGCTGAGTCAGAGGACATCACTGTTGTTGTTGCTGAAGGTGACACAAGGCTTTAAGAGTTTTACCACAAGATTAAAGTACATCAAGGGCTGCAATTGTCTGTGAGCAGGTTGGATGAGAAATACCCAAACAGCATAAATGTTGAAAGAGAGAAGATTTTGCACATTCCTCGACACACGAAAATACAAAAATTTGATTACTGGAAAGCAGCAACGCTTCCAGTAATCAACACAAAGTTGAATAAATAAGCAGCAGACAACATCTCTGTCTCCTGCGGGCTCGCTGGGAACTGTCCCCCTATATTTTTATCTTAATTCAATCTCAATTCGCCTTGCACATCCACAGGAGCACTAAGAGAGCAGCAGTCCATAAAATAATAAGCCCATCAGCACAATACAAATTCACACTCTTGCTCTCTCGCTGCGTTCTATACAGTGTCCCCATTATTTTGTGCTTACTGTCCTCACATCTTTTGTAAACGATGCATTAATGTCAAAGCATGCTCAC